ATCGAGCCGATCGGAAAGCACGCGGGCGTCGACGATTCGAGCCGCTCTGCGCTGGATGCGGTCAAGAAGGAGGAAGCTGGTACTGGGGAGCCCCAGCCCAGAGATGGGAACAGTATTCCATGTGCGGCCGAACCTGCGCCTTGTAAAGTTGCAGGCGGTGTGCCGGCATGAAATACTGTCCCGCTCTGCTGAGCACGCCAAGCTTTTTAGAGGCCAATTTGGCCTTCCCTTCCAAGTGACCACGAAACTGCACGTCACTCGATATGTCAACGCCGAGGATTCCGATACTGGCTGAGGCAACAAGGGGAGTGCCTTGAAACTGAGGGGATACGACAAAGGGGTTCTTTTTAGCGGTTAACGCGCAAACTTGTGTCTTCTGGGGGTTAAACTGGACTAGATTTAGTCGCCCCCAATCCGAGACTCTGTCCAGCAAAGACTCGACTTCAGACACAATTTTGTCCCGGCACTCGGAGACGTTTTGAGAAGAAGAGAAATCTTGGCTTGGCCGGTGTAAAGAGCATCACCAGTGCTGTCATCTGCATAGCAATGAATGTTACGGGTATGCAACATGTCATTGATATGCAGAAGAAACCGCGTTGGCGATAGCACACAGCCCTGTGGAACACCAGCATTAATAGGCTTGCAATCGGAGCTTGCACCGTCTACAACGACCTTGATGCTCCGATCTGCAAGAAAGCTGGTGATCCAATCGCACAATTTCTCGGGAAGCCCGTAGGAAGGGAGCTTCGAAAGAAGCGCTTTGTGCCAAACCCGATCGAAGGCCTTCGCATGTCCAAACTAACGGCCAATGCCTCCCCCTTGTACTCTACTGCCTCCGCCCATCTGTGAGTTAGGTAGACCAGAAGATCACCAGCTGACCGACCACGGCGAAAACCGTATTGGCGGTCACTAATCAGCTGGTGATCTTCAAGGTACCTCATGAGCTGGCAGTTTACAATGGACTCCATTGTTTTGGAGAACAAGGAGGTGATGGCGATTGGCCGGTAGTTGGACGGGTCAGAGCGGTCGCCTTTTTTAGGGATCGGGTGGACGTAAGCCGTCTTCCATGATTTTGGGACTACGCCTATGGAGTAGGAGTACCGGAAAAGACGCGTTAAAACCGGTGCCAACTCTGGAGCATACGTCCTCAGCACAATTGGGGGGGATTCCGTCAGGCCCACTCGACTTGTGGATGTCCAGGGAGAGGAGTGCTTTGCGAACCGAGCGCTGTGTGAAGTGCACTTCCGGCATGGAGCACTCACACCGCGGGATGGTCGGCGGAGTACTCCCCCCGTCATCGAGAGTCGAGTTAGACGCAAAGAAAGAGCCTAGAAGATCGGCTTTCTCCTTTGCGGTATGGGCCAGTGAGTCTTCCCCCCTGTGCAGAGATGGAAGAGATGGCTGACAGAAATTCCCCTGGACAGCCTTGGCGAGAGACCAGAATGCACGGGTTCTAGAAGGAAGGCGAACTAGTTTCTCGCCAATTCTGCCTATGTGCTCTGACTTTGCCTTGGCAATGACTCTTTTGAAGAACCTAGAGGCGGAATTATACTTCTTTTTTAGAGCGCTGGTGTTTACATCCCGGGACGCTGACGCATCAGCCCAGGCTTGGTAGCACTCCTGCTTATAGCATGATGCTATTTTGCAGGAGCGACCAAACCATGGCTGAGACTTGCCTCCAATGGGCACCACAGAGGAAGGAACAAAAAGTTCCATACCCTGAAGTACCACATCAGCAACAGAATCCGCAACAACGTTGGGATCATCCGGCGAGAAGCAAACCCGCCCCCAAGGGTAGGATGCAACGAAAGACCGCATCCCACCCCAATCGGCTGACCTATAGTGCCAAACACGGCGGCAGCCTGCAGAATGCAACCGCGATTTCAGCGTGAGTGGCACCACACTCCGGACCAGACAATGGTCCGAGGAGCCTAAAGGGGCGTCGACGGAAATCTGATATCTGTCCGGGTGAGAGGTCAGCAGAAGGTCCAACAGGGAAGGTGCATGATCCTCCACATCTGGAATCCGCGTAGGCGAAGTAACCAGTTATGTCAGACCATATGCCAAGGCAAAATCATGAACAGATCTCCCCGCATGATCGATTAAACGTGAACCAAGCCATTCGGCGTGATGGGCGTTAAAATCGCCGAGAATCACGATCTCTGCGGAGAGGATCTGCTGTAGCAACGAATCTGCAGTCATTTGGACGTGGTCAAATAGTCGGTCTGTTTCGGCATTACCGCTATGGGACCTATAGAGGCACCCGTAGACGCGCGGATGGTCGTCGCTGTCTACGCGTAGCCAAAGGATGGACAGGTCCGAACCTTCAAGTCTGCGGAAGCGTCGAGAGCAGATGTCCTCTCTGACGTAAACACAAACTCCAGCCCGAGGCACAAAGGAGTGTTCCAGTTTGTACCCCGGGTAGGAGAGATACGAGACATCAGCCGGAGAGGACACTTGCGTCTCGGTCAGAAAGAGCAGAGCCGGCCTCGCCGTCTCGAGATGGTAGTGGACGGCGTTTAGGTTAGAGTGAAGTCCCCTGATATTGCAGAAATTCACGGACAGCGTGGCAGAGGTCGCCTTGGTCTTGTTGCTCCGTTTGCCCCGAGCAGTTGTAGTCTTGAGCGGAATTTTGCCCCCGCTCAGAAGTGGAGAAACATGGTCGTGGATGCTCAGCGAAGGATTCTCCAGGGGTGCTGGTACCCTCCTGGGGTAGTCGATCATTATTTAATTCCGCTAACATGTTGATGGGGGGGGGGGGATTTGGGCCTCCGGCCACCTGCACCCACCAGACGAAACGCGGAAGCAGAGCTTCCACCTCACGCCGGTATTCTGTGAGGTCGTGGTACCACCCCGGTTTGAGCCGGCCCATACGTGCAACAGCAAAGCTGCCGCGTGGCTCTACCACTGTTGAAAATTTTTGTAAAGCGACACCCGAACTACTTCAAAACCCACGCTGAATCTCTCGAAAGGCAAACAAGGCATAAAAATAGATTATTTCATCCCAAATGCAACTCTAGATTTTATGCAAACAGTGCTCCTATAATGGCTATTAAAATATATAATAAATTGCCCAATAACTTAAAAGAAATGCCTTTGAATAAATTCAAAATTGAGATTAATAAATGGCTTCTTGAAAAGTGTTTTTATAGTGTTAAGGAATATTTTAATTTATTGCAATATTATTTGATGTATTATATAATTTATTTAATCTTTTGACATATATGTACAATTAAATTTGATTATTTTAAGGTATAACTGCACACCGGTACAACTCCCAGTAGAATATTATTGAGACTTACTCTTATACTAAATACCTGTATTACCTAAACATTTTATTCTGCAAATAAAGATTTTGACTTTGACTTTGACTAATAAAACACTAGAAACATCAAAAAAAACAATACAATAACATTCACGCGAAAATGGCGTACGAATTAAACGTAGATTATAAATAAATATTCATAGGATAACAGTTTTTTTATTTCACTAGATGATAGAGTATTTCATATTAATTATATAATGCCACAACTTCTTCATAGAAAAGTAGTCTCTATATATAAGTTTTTATGGGTTTAAGTGCGGTTTAGGTGGGTGCGACCTCATGAGACCGCTAGGGATTTGGCGGATGATGGCCGCGGTCTCATGAGACCGCTTGGGGGCTGAAGGGTTAAAGTCATAAAACTATATGAAATCTTCAGGTGAGATATTTAACATATTTTTTTAATCCGCCATAAAACCGAAGATTTAAAAAAAATTCATCGAAATCGGATGATTTTTGATTTTCTAGAGCCAAGAAACGAGGGGACCGCGATAGTATAAAATTACCCAATACGCGTTATGTTATCTCCGAAAATCGCTATTTTTCCGTCAATTGTGAACCGATTTTTATGATTTTTTTATTAAATAGATTATAATTTAGGGATAACCTCATACAAAACTGAGGGAAAAATTCTATTACCAGAGGTGGAAAATCAGTTCTATATAAATTTAATTTTTAGATGGCATTATAGTAGTTAAATTGAGCTTGTGATACTAATATTCCTTAGTTTAATCTAAAGGGTTATAATTTATAAAAAGTAAAACTCGACTTAAATAGCTTCTGAAGTGAAGGTGGCCAAAATTAAATTAATATCTAATTATCGATACTATAAGTATGATTTATTATATTGATCTCCAAATTCAGAAGCTCTTTTGATTTTACTTTCTATTAATATATAGATTTTTTTACAAGTTTATCAAAATGTTTTGTATGTGGTAGAGCCATGCGTCAGTTTTACTACGCTGCTACTTACGCAAATGGGTCGGTACGCTAGTAGGGGAATTTTTTATTTATTTTTCCCAGACCATTAAGACCTCAGAAATAAGTCTACAATTACTTCGAAAACAAAAACATTTCTGTCGTTTTGAAAGGGCTATGTCAACTATTGTAACATATCATGCTAATTTGTCGGATAGACACAATGAATTCTTAAATTTTTGTAAATTTTATTTACACATATACAATAAGGGTGATAGACGATCACAAAGTCCACCTGATGGTAAGTGGTTGCTGCGGCCCATAGAAATCTACTACTAGGACTAGGACTAGTACTAAGATATAATGCCTCTTTTTTGAGTAAAAAGGGGCTCTGGCTCTCTAAACTCACCATACGAAACACAGCCGCGAGAAGCTACTATTTTACGCTGATGTTCTGTGAAAACGTGGTCCTTCCCCTGATCGAGCCGACTCATTCGAGGTACAACTATACTACTTATATAGCTGTAGCATATCGCATCTTTATAATTATAGAGACCTAATTTGAAATTTTAAGATTTCAACTTTGACTCATCAAATTACCTTGTATGACCATCTTCATCGACTCGTAATAAAATACGGGCCTAATATGGCGTATAAAGGGGTAAAATTATACTTCGGTCTCTTTCACTCCGTCCCCTCCCACCGCGTCCGTTCAGTTGGAGAGAGTCGCAAGCACAAGCAGTAATGTGCCGCGAGTATCATGAGCAGGTCGTTACTTTTTTGTAATTGTGGTGACCTAAAACGAATTGCTACTAGATTAAAAATTAAGGTATGTGGATGTAACTATTTTTAATAAAGTAAAGGCCTATTTTGTATTGAGTCTAATTCATACTAAAATTTCTCTTTACAGCTGTTACTTATTTGTCATTAAATCACTCATATAATATGACTCATTAAACAAGACAACAAAACGACTCCGTACCGCGACAGGCCCACGTCTAACTAGTCTGTGCGAGTACAATAGTATTTACTACAAGAGGGACACAGTCATAAATCAGTTTCTACCATAAACATTCGTTTCGTAACAACATAGACCAAATGATGATTGCGTCTTCGTTTCGTACATTTTTTTTTTCAATATATATAATATAAATAAAAAAATATTTTTTTTCTGTATATTTATCGGATTTTAGATAGTAACTCATTATAAATAAAGAAATTGAAAAATGAAGAAAAGAGCAGATTATATTTTAAAAAAAATTAATTTTTGTAGTACTCAGATTAGATTTAATATTCAGATTTTTATTATTGTTTTTAAACAACAAAACAAATTTTATAATCTTATCATTTATTATTTCCAGGATAATGATGTTAATAATAGTAGTGCCTACATCAAGGACCCACCAACCAATGTGCAAGGAAAATCGGCTGATAGTGATGACATTATGGTAGATTAAATATTTATGCCCATTGAGTATTTTTCACGGATATCTACAGTAACGTAATATTGTATTTTACTTCAGATTATCACCGATAAAGAAAATATTGTGCCATGTAGTCCGTCTCCAGAAAAAATATTTTCAAATCAGGTTGACCAAATTATTATTAAGGTATGTAATCATACATTTTCTTTATATATATTAAGATTTAGTTATTTTGATTATTATAACAATTTAAACTAGGTACCTTAACTTACATTTATCCAGACATATTTTTTTGCGTATTTTTGTAAACTTACAATATTTACTTTCAGAAAACGCCTCAACAAGAAAATGAATCATTAACAAGTAGTCCATCAATAATAGAAAACTCTCCTAACGTATCCATTAAATATTATGGTCAAAAGACGTTTCGTTTATACAATACGAACACCAATGAGGTGGGTTATAAGCTTTTTATGTTTATTTAAATAATAGTATTTTCTTTCATAACGAATTGTAAACTAAATTATATTTCAGGTACAAACGATACCCAAAATCGATGAATTTACTAAAGAGTCTATAAGTCTTACGCCAGCTCTTCTGCCAGTAGAAATAGAAATGCAACAGTCTAAGAAATCACGTGATTCAGCCTCTAGAACTAGTAGGTCTTCTTGTTATTCAAGCAGATCATCATCAACATCCTCTTCCAGTTCCAGCAGCAGTTCTGGAAACAGTAAAACAAATGACAATCGGGTCAAGTTGCAAGCAGAAGTACATCTGCAGCAAAAAAATTACTACCAGTCACCTATCAATTGATATGAAAGTGATGTAGATTTAAGTGACTCCGACCCAAACTATATTGTAGATAGGTCTAGGTCCAATCTTAAAAAGACTACTTGGTTATCAAGCTCTAGCTCTAGTTCTTCACCTTCTTCCAACACTACTTTCAATACCATAGCATCTAATAACATTTTTTCTATTAATTCTGTCGCAGAAGCTCCCAGAAAATTTAGGAAGCGTACTCAAAATCCATCAAAATGGAAGCAAAATGTAGCAAAAATTTTAAGAAATTCTGGGAAAGCCTATGTTTCAATGACAACTAAAAGGGAAATTTCTGCCCGTTTCGTTAAAGATGCATGTACATGTAGACTCACATGTTACGATAATGTAGATGGGACCGATATAAATACGCTATTTGAAACATATTGTCTCTTGGCAACATCGAACTACAGGGATCTTACATAAGATCTTTTATGATGCAAGTTAAATCTAGATATAAGTTTTTTTTTTTATAGAAGAGGGGGCAAACGAGCATGCGGCTCACCTGATGTTAAGTGACTACCGCCGGCCATGATCAACCGCAACACCAGGGGTACTGCAGGTGCGTTGCCGGCCCTTTAGAAAGGAGTAAGCTCTTTTCTTGAAGGTCCCCAGGTCGTATCGGTCCGGAAAAATCGCCGGTGGTAAACTATTCCACAGAGAGGTTGTACGCGGAAGAAAACTCCTTTTGAAACGTAATGTGGTGGACCCCCAAGCATTCAGATGGTGTGGATGGTATCGGGACGTTTGCCGCGTAGTGCGTTCACGAAATTTGGTGGCTGGGATTAATCCGAACAATTCCTCAGAGCACTCTCCGTGGTATATGAGAAATAAAATGAAAAGAGATGCAACATCTCTTCGCAGTGCCAGTGAATCGAGCCGATCGGAAAGCACTCGGTCGTCGACGATTCGAGCCGCTCTGCGCTGGATGCGGTCAAGTGGAAGGAGCTGGTACTGGGGAGCCCCAGCCCAGAGATGGGAACATTATTCCATGTGCGGCCGAATCTACGCCTTGTAAAGTCGCAGGCAGTGCGCCGGCATGAAATACTGTCCCGCTCTGCTGAGCACGCCAAGCTTTTTAGAGTCCAATTTGGCCTTCTCTTCCAAGTGACCACGAAACTGCACGTCACTCGATATGTCAACGCCGAGGATTCCGATACTGGCTGAGGGAACAAGGGGAGTGCCTTGAAACTGAGGAGATACGACAAAGGGGTTCTTTTTAGCGGTTAATGCGAAAACTTGTGTCTTCTGGGGGTTAAACTGGACAAGATTTAGTCGCCCCCAATCCGAGACTCCGTTCAACAAAGACTCGACTTCAGACACAAGTTTGTCCCGGCACACGAAGACGTTTTCCCGAGAAATATTGGCTCGGCCGGTGTAAAGAGCATCACCAGTGCTGTCATCTGCATAGCAATGAATGTTACGGGTTTGCAACATATCATTGATATGCGGAAGAAACAGCGTTGGCGATAGCACGCAGCCTTGTGGAACACCACAATTAATGGGCTTGCATTCGGAGCTTGCACCGTCTACAACGACCTTGATGCTCCGATGTGCAAGAAAGCTGGTGATCCAATCGCACAATTTCTCGGGAAGCCCATAGGAAGGGAGCTTCGAAAGAAGCGCTTTGTGCCAAACCCGATCGTAGGCCTTCGTAACGTCCAAACTAACGGCCAATGCCTCCCCCTTGGACTCTACTGCCTCTGCCCATCTATGAGTTAGATACACCAGAAGATTACCAGCTGACCGACCACGGCAAAAACCGTATTGGCGGTCACTTATCAGCTGGTGATCCTCAAGGTACCTAATGAGCTAGCAGTTTACAATAGACTCCATTGTTTTGGAGAACAAGGAGGTGATGGCGATAGGCCGGTAGTTGTAAGGGTCTGAGCGGTGGCCTTTTTTAGGGATCGGGTAGACGAAAGCCGTCTTCCATGATTTTGGGACTACGCCTAGGGAGTAGGAGTACAGGAAAAGACGCGTTAAAACCGGTACCAACTCTGAAGCACACGTCCTCAGCACAATTGGGGAATTCCGTCAGGCCCACTCGACTTGTGGATATCCAGGGAGAGGAGTGCTTTGCGAACCGAGTGCTGTGTGAACTGCACTTCCGGCATGGAGCACTCACACCGCGGGATGGTCGGCGGCGTACTCCCCCCGTCATCGAGAGTCGAGTTGGACGCAAAAAAAGAGCCTAGAAGATCGGCTTTCTCCTTTGCGGTATGGGCCAGTGAGTCGTCCTCCCTGTGCAGAGATGGAAGAGATGGCTGACAGAAATTCCCCTGGACAGCCTTGGCGAGAGACCATAATGAACGGGTTCCAGAAGGAAGGCGAACTAGTTTCTCGCCAATTCTGCATATGTAGAATTATACTTCTTTTTTATAGCGCTTGTGTTTACATCCCGGGACGCTGATGCATCAACCCAGGCTCGGTAGCACTCCTGCCTATAGCATGATGCCATTTTACAGGAGCAACCAAACCATGGCTGAGATTTGCCTCCAATGGGCACCCCAAGAATAAGGCACAGAGGAAAGAATAAAAAGTTCCATACCCTGAAGTACCACATCAGCGACAGAATCCGCAATAACTTTGGGATCGTCCGGCGAGAAGCAAACCCGCCCCCAAGGGTAGGATGCAAATAAATACCGCATCCTATCCCAATCGGCTGACCTATAGTGCCAAACACGGCGGCAGCCTGCAGAATGCAACTGCGATTTCAGCGTGAGTGGCACCACACTCCGGAAAAGACAATGGTCCGAGGAGCCTAAAGGGGCTTCGACGGAAATCTGATATCCGTCCGGGTGAGAGGTCAGCAATAGGTCCAACAAAGTCCAACATCTGGAATCCTCGTAGGCGAAGTAACCAGTTGTGTCAGACCATATGCCAAGGCAAAATCATGAACAGATCTCCCCGCATGATCGGTTAAACGTGAACCAAGCCATTCGGCGTGATAGGCGTTAAAGTCGCCGAGGATCACGATCTCAGCGGAGGGGATCTGCCGTAGCAACGAATCTGTAGCCATTTGGACGTGGTCGAAGAGTCGGTCTATATCGGCATTACCGCTTTGGGGTAGAGGCACCCGTAGACGCGCGGATGGTCGTCGCTGTCTACGTGTAGCCAAAGGATGGACAGGTCCGAACCTTCAAGTCTGTCGAGGCGTCGAGAACAGATGTCCTCTCTGACATAAACGCAAACTCCAGCTCGAGGCACAATGGAGTGTTCCAGTTTGTACTCCGGGTAGGAGATACGAGACATCAGCCGGAGAGTACACCTGCGTCTCGGTCAGGAATAGCAGAGCCGGCCTCGCCATCTCGAGATGGTAGTGGACGACGTTTAGGTTAGAGAGAAGTCCCCTGATATTGCAGAAATTCACGGACAGCGTGGCAGGGGTCGCCTTGGTCTTGTTGCTCCGTTTGCCCCGAGCAGTTGTAGTCTTGAGCGGAATTTTGCCCCCCCCCCCCCCCCATAATACGCGGGGCAGCCTGAGCACCCACCCTCAGAAGTGGAGAAACATGGTCGTGGATGCTCAGCGAGGGATTCTCCAGTTGTGCTGGTACCCTCCTGGGGTAGTCTATCATTATTTAATTCCGCTACCATGTTGATGGGGGGGGGGGATCCGGCCACCTGCACTTACCAGACGAAACGCGGAAGCAGAGCTTCCACTTCACGCCGGTATTCTGTAAGGTCGTGGTACCACCCCGGTTTGAGCCGGCCCATACGTGCAACAGCAAAGCTGCCAAGATTACCAAATGATGCATTCAATTTTAAAATAAATAATATCAATATTCATGTTTGTAAGACCATCTTTATTAACACGCTAGGGATATGTGACCGTCAAATCGGAACAGTTAAAAGGAAAACTGACCCGCAAGGTTTCGTAAGTAAAGACAATAGAGGTAAGCACTTTGGAAGAAAACCCACAGATCCACTACTTATTGAAAGTATAAAAGGACATATAAATTCGATACCAAGAATAGAGTCTCATTATTTGAGAGCTTCAAATTCCAGGGAGTATATTAGCGGTGAGAAGACGATAATGGATCTTTGGAGAGATTTTGATAAATCTAAGAAAGAAGAAGAAAAACCTATATGTGACTATTGGTTGTATTTTTACTAAAGAACTTAATATAGGTTTTTTTAACAAAAAAAGATAGGTGCGGCTTATGCTTGGATTACGAGCTTGCAACTCCGGTTCGTAAGATAGAAATTAAGGAAAAATATGATGACCATCTGAAAGAAAAGGTTCTGTGTCGAGAAGAAAAACGTCTGGATCGTCAAAATATTAATGAAACCAACATTTGCGCGGTCTACGATTTGCAGGCTGTTATGCAGTGTCGCACTGGAGAAACATCATCTTTTTTTATAAATCCAAAGTTAATTGCCTTAATTTTACAATAGTAGAAATTTTAAAGATACAGCAACACTTCAAAAGCGTAAAAAAAATAAAAAAGAGAATGATAATGAAATAGGGGCATACGGTAACGTATATAGCTATTTCTGGGACGAAGTTCACGGAAAAAGAGGAGTTAACGAGATTGGATCATGTATTTTAGATTATTTACACCGTTTAAATGAGCAGAACTAAAACAAAGCTCTCCATGTCACATTTTATTCCGATAATTGTTGTGGACAAAATAAAAATAAATACATTACCACGTTATATTCTTATGATGTAACTATTTTTGAAAATATTCACAGAAATACTAATAAATATCTAATTAAAGGTGATACCCAGGATGAATGAGATAATGTACACAGCCTTATTGAAAAGGAGATTAAGAGAAATAAAAAGTCTGGGCCAATATACGCACCCTACCAATATGTTACACTAATTAAGAACTCGCGTAAGAAGGGTAAACCTTTTAATATGATAGAGCTAACATACAAATTTTTCATCGATTTGAAAGTTCTACAAGAAAAGTGGGGATATAATTATAATTAAGATGAACATAAAAATAATATCATATGGACCAATGTCAATTTTTGGAATTTTGTAA